AAGAAGTTCCTTCCTGGCCAGTCCTAGCTCTGAAGATTTAGGTAAGTGCGTGTGCGTGTGTGTGCGTGTGTGTGCGCGCGCACACATGTTAGATAGAATCTGATCTTTGTTAACATCTGCATAAAATCTATTTGAGCAGCATTCCTAAAAGAACTCTTCTAGAAATGATTACTCAGGATGACGTACTATTAGGCCATGGTAAGCCCCCTAGTTAGCACAATGATTAAGAATGGCAGGTTTGGGGAGGGATGTTATCTTAGCTATCCCAGAGCTCTGGCCCAGTAACCAGGGCAGGAGGGTTCTTAAAGGCACAGGGCAGCTTGTTGCAGAAATTAAGTCTTCCTACTCTGTTTTTGTTTTCTTCTTTGCACTTACATGTGTATTTAAGGAGAATCCCCCAACAGCAAAGCAGCCCGGGAGAAGAGAGCACAGGTTCTCTGGCACTAGGGGTCCAGCTACTTAGCTCTCTTTACCTGCAGAGGCAACAGTTAAGAAACAGCACTTGGATCATGAGTACAACTGGTGGGCAACTGGTCTACCTGTGCCTTCATCAGTACTCTTCCCACTGCTATATCTGAGCCCCAGACACCCTCTCCAAAGCCCCCAGTTCCACGATTCCTGCTAAGAAAAAGGAGAGATCCAAGCCTTTGTCAGTGGCTTCAGACTTTCTGGTGACAACTTGTGCTAAGAAGCACATTGATCATTGTAGCTTGGTGCACACACATATAAGGCTGAAACAGCTTCATAAGTCACTGTGTGTGTGCTCAGTCGCTCAGTTGTGTCTGATTCTTTGTGTCCCCATGGACACAAAGAAGTCCATCAGGCTCCTCTGCCCATGAAATTTTCTAGGCAAGAATACTGGAGTGGGATGCCATTTCCTCCTCCAGGGCATCTTCCTGACCCAGGGATGGAACCCACATCTCTTGCGTATCCTGCACTGGTGGGCAGATTCTTTACCACTAGAGCCACCTAGGAAGCCCTCATAAGATACTACACTTAATACAGAGTGTGATCTACACTGCTATTTTTTATTCCATTACCCTTAAAAAATAATGCTCAGGATAACCTGCTAGACTGATTTCATAATGCGCTAATATTAGGGTCCCAACCCACAGTTTGAAAAACTCTGGGCCAATTCCAAGGTGTGTGTCTATAGGTAGACGGGTAGAGAAACAAAACTCTTTAAGAGCCACAGACCTCACACTTGTCTAAAGCAAGAGATGGTTGGTTAGAAAAAACTAAGAAAGGATGCAGCTAATGAAGCAGTGGGATGTGTCTGTGTTGTTTTGATTTGGGCACATCACCAATGGGTGTGAATTGTTAGTATTTTTCCTGCCTGGGACTAGAAAGACTATTGGAGAAAACGGTATCCAGTGTTTTCTATTCCTTCTAAAAGAAATATACTTATGTTTTAAAAAGGGACTAACTTAAGTGAAATGATCAAATAGGTCACAGTATAAGTGACTATGATAATGTGAAATTGTGAACACGGTAAGATTGATGGAAGCTGCTGGGAAATTTTGATGGATATTGAAACTTTCAGGGTACACATGCGGAAACCAGTCCATGGAGCAGACAAATTATGATTATGGCCCAGAGCTGGCTATTAAGCAGTCATAGCTCCAGGTATTCTGGGGTCCAGCTGTTCATTCTCTGATCTCTGGGTCTCAGTTTTGTTATAAATGACAGTGGCCCTGTCTGTCTCACTGGACTGGTGTGAGATAAGACAGGTGGAAACACCCCAAATTCTAAACACTAAAGCAAGCTCTGCAGGCTGGTTAGTATTCCCTTTCGCATCCTTTCCATCAGGATAAGAGCCTGCCTGCTACGTTTGCATCTGTATCAATGTTTACATCCATGTGACTGTCCGGGCCTCTTATTGAATGTGGCTTTGATTACAACAAGATGATGTAACCCCTGGTCTCTCTGCATCATGTCCACCCAGACTGTGCTGTGTCAGGATTCAGCTAGACTGGGTCCCATCTTGGGTCTAATAAGGAAGGACCAAGGGACCTCCCTAGTGGTCCAGTGGCTAAGACTCTGCACTCCCAATACAGAGGGCCCAGGTTCGATCCCTGGCAAGGGAACTACATACCACAAGCTGCAACTAAGACCCAGTGCAGCCAAATACATGAGAAATAAATTTAAAAAATAAAAAGGAAGGACAGATTTGTGCGGCCTCCAACACCATGTCATGTGTCTTCAACGTCCTCCATAGAACATAAGTAAAAAGTTGACCCTAGAACTGCCCTTGCAGAGTTGAGTAGCCACAGTCTGTTCAAGGTGTTTATAAAGGCCCCATCACAGTCCCCACCCCAGTCCTCCTGGCTTTAGGGCGGATCAGAGCCAAGCTGACAGGCAGTCTCTGGGTCTTTGTTGAACCTGAGCTCAGATGGATGTAGAAACACAAGAGAAGCCAAATCGTATGTTTAAACAGTTAAGAGGAAACCAAGCTCAGCAAGGAACTACAATCCTGGATTTAGCCTGGGTGAATTTTCCTTCTCTGGGATTTCCTGTCCGTTTTTTGGGATGTTTCTATCTATCGAAATGTTCAGTGGCAACTAGTTTAAGGTCATCAACTGAACGGTGGTGAAAGAAAACCTTACACAGTACTTGGGTTTAGCTGCTAAAATATCTGTGGTTACCCAATCAACCCAAAGGCAGGCTTACAAGACACATGTTCCCAGCCTCCATCTATCTGTCCTTAGTAGAAAGAGGCCAAACTTGAAGACAGGGCTTAAAGAACCATCCCTAACAATAAAGGCCAGGTCAGCATGGGGCCCCAACTGCCTGGGGGGGTGGGGCAGGGGCAGTGGGGTGGTGGGGGAGGTCCTTAACGATGTAGAGTAAGTGAACCCAAAAGTCTGCCTCCTGCAATGTTCTTAGGCTGCAGTTAAAATTTAACAATTTTTTTTTATGTAAATCATTTGGTATGTTCAATTGCATGGGGGGTTGGGGGTGGCAAAGAAGGAACAATGGGCTGGGATTAGATAATTTACTTAGTGCTAAAATTCCAGGAAGTTTGTGTTGATCTGGGCCTGGATCTTGTTACTTTTTAGCTTCAATCTAAATCTTTATCTTCCTAGTATAGTTGAGAGGACATTTTTTACTTAGCCATTTTTGCAGTTGTAATTTTTTCCCCCTTTCATCAAATAGAGCCAGTTAGATTAGCAGCTCTTAGCACGGAGATGAAAATATTGGTAGGACCCATTGGGCCCTGTTTTGTTTATTCTACCAGAGCAGGCTTTGATCTAAACATATTTCCTGGGGTCTGGACGAGATGACCTAATTCCTGTCTTATCCGTCTCCACTTTCTGTGAATCTCAGATTGCGCTTGACTGTGGAGCCCTTTGAAATTCACTTTACATTTTTTCCCACTTTGTTACCCCCTCTGACATTTGTTTCATTTGGGGTAGGGGTGTGTAGCTCCTAGTAAAAGACTCCAATGCTTTATTTTTCTAACAGGACTGCTAAGTTTTAACAGAGTGGGAGCTTTCTTTTTTTTCTTCTTCTTCTTAAGTTCTCTCCTTCTTGACATTCGCAACACGCCAAAAACAATAAGCAAATAATCTACTGCTAGAAATTTTATGTCAACTGCAAATCAGTCAGGATTTTCTGTATGACACTTTTTTCTAATTTAAAAAACAAAACAAAACAAAAAAACTGTCCCCCACCCCCTTACACATCAGTTGAATAAACCCGGCCCAGGAGAATTGAGAGGCAAAGACTTAAAGCTCAAAGTTGACTCTTGAGCCAATCGGTTTCCCTAAATGATCTGGAGAAACCTGCCCCCTTCTTTACTCTATGCACCCCTCCCCCTCCACAGCCACTGGCCTGAGTGGCCTTGGGTAGCTTGGGTCTTGTCTCTGGGCTCCCTTTTTCCACCCTAGTTTCCTGTCAATCACCAAACTGCTCTTCCAAGCCTATTTTCCAGAAAGAGGGAAGCCCCTGTATGTATATGGGGGTGATGGGGATAGGAGTAGGGGTAGGGGTGGGGAGCAACGCAGATGAAGGGGGAGGGAAAAAAAAAAACCACACAGGACTACAGGGAAGGAAAGACGGGGGAGATAAGGGACCAGAAGAAGGTGAAAGAATGACAGCAACACAGTCGAGACCCAGAGAAAAAGAAAAAGCATCCTTATTCCGAAAAGTGGGGAAAATAACCCAAGTTGCTAACGTTTGTAAATTTTGAGTGATGGGTACAAGAAAGTTGGTTATTCGCAGTCCTCCTTTTTTGTTTTCTTTTTCTACAAGTCACTTTTTTTTTTTTTTAAAGGAACTGAGGCAAATGTCACCAAAACGAATATTTTTAGTTCAAAAATGTGAATTTGGCTGTTATCATTCCGGGCAGCAACAAGCCCAGGAAATTCGGTGTCCGGCGATTCCAAAACTACCTCGACGCACCTCCAATTAGAGAAGGGGGGCAAAGGAAGGCGAAAAAGTGAGGCGAGGCTTGACGGGAGGGGGTGGGGCGGCGTGTTCACTTCGGCCTTAAAATAAACTTTGTAGCTTTATAAATATGAATAAATTTTCTCTTCCGCCGGGCTGAGCCGAAAGGCTGAGTGTATTTCTCACTCCGAGAGGAAGCAGGCTGAGGGCGATTTCTTGTTTTGGAAACGAATGTAAGGGGGAATAGGCAGGTAATGATCAATAGATTAGAGAGAGTCGATCGATGGATGGATAGGCAGGAACCAAGGCGAAGACGGAAGGGAGGGGACAGAGACACCGACTGAGCCCGCGAGGCTCCGACTTTCTCCTAAGGGCTACGGTCGCCTCTGAAAGTCTGTCCAAACGAAACGCTGCTTCTGCTCCCGTTAACTCATCAGAAAAAGCTAGAAGGGAGGAGGTCGGTGGTGAGAGGGGAAAGAAAAAAAAATCGCCCGCTGCCCGCCCCGCCAGCCTGGCGGAAATGGACCCGCAGCTGGGGAGGCGCAGGGCCGTGACCCCCACGCCCGCCGCGGGTGGGAGCCCGGGGGTGGGGACCGCGCCGCGGCCGCGGGATGGAGGAGGTCGGGGGGAGCGGTCCCGCCGCGGAGCTGTGTGTGTGCTCGGAAACCCGTGTCGGGGCTCTGCAGATGGGACCCCTTTGGAGAGGTGGGCGTGGGGCTCAAGGGCGCGGGAGGGAGGGGGAGGGCCGAGGGGCGTGTAACGAGCAGGTCCCTCTCGGAGCCCGGAGGCCCTCGGAGGCCCCCCGCAGGTCTCAGGCTCGGTCCCCAGAGAAGCACCCGGATCCAAAGACCACTCAGGCCTGGGCACCCAGTCGTCGTCGCGCCCAGCCCTGGGAAGGGGTTGGATGCCTCCCTTCGCAGAGAAAACGTTCCCCTCTGGCCCGCCTATGACAAAAGCAGCCAGAATCCCATCTTTTCGCCTGGTCCCCACTTTTGAGCAGAGGGGTCTCTCTGAGGGAGATGTGGCTGGGACCCTAGAGGAGCAATCGCGGATGCTTGCTAGCGCGCTGAAACGTCTGGGTGATTCTCCGCAGCGCACAGCCCAGTGCCTGCCCTTTCAAAGTTTGGGGGCGCCGGTCCCCAGAGGGTCACAGCCTCAGGTCAGCGCCCACCTTTTGGCACGCCCCTCCTGGGCCCCAGACCACTTAGCCTGGGGAAGCTCACGCCGAGCGGCCATGGAGTGGCCTGTGCCCCAATGGAAACTTCTCCTGGAAGGTGGCCCCGACGCTTCTCCCTTACCTGGGCGCAGGGCCACTGTCTGCCGGCGGTTTACCGCGGCTCTGGAAGAAAAAATTCGCCGACCCCTCTAGACACCAACTTCCACCCAGTCCGTTTGCTGACCCCAAAATAGTGCTCTGGAGGGAAACATGTTCTAGGGGAAACCCTAGAACAAAAGGAGAGAGGAGGAAATCAGACTGAATTCTGGTGATGCGATATTCAAGTCGACTCTACATATCCTTTGTCATGGACTTTTTCTTTCAAATATGCGTGTGTGTTTAAATGCCTAAAAGACTAATTAAATAAAGACCAAGTTGACCTCGCTGGGTTGAGGCCCAGTTTCAGATTATATAACCCCAGCTGCCCCGGGAACTCTCCAGCAATGCTGCTCACAGCCGCCTGGAAAATGACTGAATCAAAGGAAGTGAAACCACCGGAACAGGAGAAATAAAGCCAAAGTCTCCAAGGCCATGAATGTCCTGCTTAAGGAAACTTACCTGGCCCGATGGAACCTCCTATACCAACTTTTTATTTCACACCATTTTTTTCCTTTTTCTTGGGGGCAGAAAGGTTGTAGGAAAAGTAGCCAAACAAGTAATTGATATTGGGAGAATATCTAGGTCCTCCAAATTAAAAAAAACTAGGAGAAAAAGAAAACACATGCTCATGCAAACCTGTTTCTGTTATGCCTTTTACAATTCCTTATTTAGAGAGAGAGAGAGATACATACACGATTTACTGGTGCCTGGGGAAATGCTAAAATACATTTTGGGGCCTGGCTAAATAGAAATCCACTCTAAAAACACAGACACAGTATATTGTTTTATCTGTTGCAAAAAAAAATGTATTTGATTACTTGAGTAAAATTACAGTATCTCTGTTGTTAGTAAGTATTAAATGTTAAAGAAATTGGACCCCCCCCTTCCTTTCAACTTTCCAAGAAAGTGCATGTAACAGTCCATTTTTTTTTCCTTCCATACCTAATACAAAATAAACAAACACTATACCTGCTCTCTTGATCAAGAAGAAGCATTTGCTCTTGTAAGGAACATATGTACATTTTAATGAAAGTGATATTTCTTTTTGTATATACAAGAGCATCTACATTTTCTCCACTGAAGGTTGTTCAAGATGCTATTCTTAGCAGCATTGTGAAATTCCAGCACACATTTTCTATTGTGAATATACCTACAAGGCAAAATGTTACGTCTTAGTTTCAACTACCAAAACAACACTTGTATTTTTCTCTAAAGAATTCTGCGTGCTTATCACTGTACAGAAACTTATTAACATTGAGGACGACTCAAGTAAAAAGCACAATACAAATAGCAGTTCAAAACGGAAAGGGTTAAATCTACAAAAAAAAAAAAAGCAGGTTGAATTTTAGAATAAAAAAAAAAAAATCCCCCCAAAAAAACCCAAACCTTTCAAAGAACCACACAGTTCAGTCTGTACTTTCAGTCCTTTCCTTAAATTTGTTTTGAAAGATTAGACAATGTGTTTGCTGATAAAATTTTCCAGCAGGATCAAAGTATACATTTATATACAGATTTTATTAGAGATCTAATGCATCACTGAGGCATTGCCATCAACACCAGATTCATATTAAACTGGATATAGAAAATAAGTTAATGCCAGATTAAGACCGCCTAGCAGGGCAACTTGCAATTGCCATAAATGTTACAGCAAGTTTACAGGACTCTAGTCAATTAGTATTTAGTCCAAAAATACAGAAGACCAAAGTTAACGCTTGCATTCTGTTTGCAAAGCCAGGTTATATCACTAATAAATAAGCTTTCTTAGAACTCTAGAAGTTGAACAAGGTACAAAAGAATGTCTTCAGAAGGTTGTAGTTCAGAGATCTGGGGTGGGGGGGGGGGCTGTGGGGGAACCAGAAGGTTTGGAGGGGACAGGGCAAGGAGGAGGAAGCAACCGTGGGTCTCATTCTGAATGGGGGATGCTCCCTCTCCAGCCAAAGGGCCTTTAACTTGTGACGATCTCTTTGCTGTCTTCCACGAAGCGGGTGAAACGGAAGTTGGTTCCATTCTCACTGCTTGCCATCTTCTCCAGGCCAGCCAGGGGTGCGCTGGGCTCTGAGTTCTGGAGCTTCTCCAGGTTTCCCGTCAGCCCACTAATAGGTGAGCTGCTTCCGCTGCCCAGGCTTCCAGGAATTGGAGGAATGCCCCCATTCTGAATGACGGAGATCTCGTTGGCCTTCATCGCCAGCCCGTTGGAAAGCGCGGCTGCGTACTGATTCCAGAAACTGGAAGGATCCCCACTTCCTGACCTGGCCGCCAAATCCTTCTGGAACATTTCTGGGAACTTGACGGGATTGCCTCCTAGAAATGTCATAGGGCCATCCACAGAGAGCCGGCGACCCCGGCGGGCGGGGGTGCTATTCCACATGTGAGTGCCCATGTGTACCTGGGATGGGGGGAGGAAGGGATGGAGGGAGAAGAAAAAAAAAAGGGGGGAGAGAGAAGGGAGAAGCTTAATAGTTGAATCTGTCTCAACTCACATCCCAACACTCGACAGGGCCAGTGGCCGCAGTGTCTATTCTTATTACATGCCGGACAGTGGGAAGGGTAACAAGAACTGTCCACTCCAGTCTGCTAGTAATAAGGTGTCCACTCTCTGCAACCCTGGTCTGCCTCTCCTCTGCCTGGGCAAGGATGCCTTACTTACTCCTTTTTTATTACCTGTATTTAGCTTATAATGGCCTTGAGCAAACCAGTCAGTTGCAGATAGCTCCTTTCAGGGTGAGAATTGTTATGTCCACTCTCATTGCCATGGCAAGTATTGTATCTGACACCCTTTACCCTATAAATGTCCTTTTCAGATGGGAAGAGAGTGCCCCTCACTGATTGCCCAATGGAGGGCCTGTGCGTGGAGCGAAAAAGCCAGAAAGTAATTATTCATCTTGCATTACTGGCAGCAATCTCTAGAGAAATACTCTGTCAACAGAAAAATGTGCACAGTAAGAGCGCTCAACTGTTGCTCTAGAACTTAAGCATATTTGCTTTCTTTCCAACACGTATCGGTAGGAAATGTTGTATGATCAATTATCATAATACCCATTAGCAGAGTGGTGACGTTACTGTTTTTAGAAAGACAAACCACGCTGGACTGCAGAGTTATGAAAAAAATAGATGCCCACGCAGAGGAGAAGTGTAATTATTAAGTGATATGGGCAGCACACAGGCCACATGGAGGTCTTTAATCAATACCCCATGGCAATGCGGGGCTGTCTGACCTGGTAGGTAGAGCAATTCATTAGGTGCACTTAGCGAGACTATAGGGCCAGGCCGCTGCTTCGCTTAGGTACCAAATTATTCAAGGCGCTCTGACGTTCAGCAGGCTGCAGCCTGCCCTGGTCCCTGCCATGATCCTGACCTGCATAGGCACCCACAATTCTCCAGATAAGCCACGTGGCAGCAGGTTCTCTCGCGAGAACTCGCCCCCTGACTGTCTGGACCAAAGACTCTGGGAGCGTGCCTTACAAACCCTCAGTGGCCTCGAAAGAAAGAAGGCTGCTAGGGTGGGTGTGGGTGAGGTGCAGATGGAGTGAAGTACCTTAAGATTGCCTTTTGTTGTGAAAGCTCTTCCACAAATAGTGCAAGCAAAGGGTTTCTCTCCAGTGTGAGTTCTCTCGTGAATCTGCAGGGCACTCGACGAGGAGAAGGTCTTACCACATGTGTTGCAGTAGTGCTGTTTGGGGGTTCTCCTGGGCAGAGCTGGGAGCAGAACTGGGGACGTGGCAGAGGATGACAGAGGCCCAGAAGGGACGTGACTGGCGGGGGTGTCCTTACTGTCCTGAGGAGTCACATGCACGAAGCCGTTGACCTCTGTCTTGATGAGAGACGCCAACGAGTTGGCGGGAATCACCGCCGAGTTCTGATTGGGGCCAAGGTTGGAACTGGGCTCAAAGAGCTGTGATGGTAGATCCCGCATCTGATGTGTCAACATGTGTTGCTTCAAATTACCCTTGGTGGAAAAGCCACGATTGCAGACTGTGCAAATAAATGGTCTCTCTTTGGTATGACTTCTGTAGTGAATGTCCAAGGCACTCTGACAAGCAAAGGTTTTGCCACAAATGTCGCAAGCAGTGTTTTTAAATTTACCCCGGTCTCTGAAAGGAAAGAGGATTCCCAAAGAATCTTCTTTGATGATTTTCTCTGTGTGACTAGATGTCAAATCCAGAGCCCCACCATTCACTGGGGCGGGAGACAAACCGTTGGCAAACTCACTTGCCCCTGCTCTCTGCGGCTTCTCCTCGGCGCTGGGTGACTTGTGGAATTCCTGGGTGCTGTTGGATGGGGACAGAGCCTGCATGGAGGAGGTAGACTCTGAGATGGCCGGGCTGCCTGCACTTTGGCTCTCCATGTCCCCACCCACTGAGGACGAATCGTTGGTCAAGACGTCCCCCTCGACTGACCCGTTCTCCACTGACTTCAGGCTGGCCTGCAGCTGCTCTGCCAGGCCGGCGTTGATCATCTTCATCTGATTTTCCAAAGCGGCGATGCTCGACATCTCTAGAGGCAAAGGCGAGGAAGACAGGCTGTCTTGGGAGGCGTCTGCGGACTTGGGCGTGTCCGGGATGCTGCCCTCGGGACAGTCTTCCATGTTTTCATCGGAGAAGGTGTCTAGGTCATCAAAATTTTTCTCATCAAAGGAGCCCGTGTCGGACTCCATGGACTCGGGGTAGCTGTCAGGGACCGGGGTGTTGGGGATCTGGCCCCCCATGTGCATTCGGATGTGCTGCTGTAGGACCACGGCGTTCGTGAACTTTTTCTGGCAGATGGGACAGGAATGCTGGACTCTGAGCGGGGGCATAGCTCGATGGACGCTATAGTGGGTCTTCAGGTTCCCTTTCGTGGTGAAAGCCCGGCCGCAGATCTTACACTTGAAGGGCCTCTCCCCAGTGTGGGTGCGGTAGTGCATCTTCAAGGCGCTCTGACAGCTGAGGACCCGGTGGCAGATGATGCACTCATTGGGGTCAGTGGCCTTCTTGTCAATGTTTTCGACCAGTTGCTGAAGCTTGGATGTCTCTGAGGCCTGGGCTGAGTCCAAGAGTCCCCCAAAAGGAAACTTCGCCTTGAACTGCTCCGACATGAGCGGCAACAGAGGGTTGGTGAAAGTCGAGGCGCTGCCCGGACCGCCGTCAGACGCTAGGGAGCTCAGCACGCCGGCGTTCAGGGCTGGGGCCGAGCTGGGGACCATACCGCTCTCTTCGCTTTTGCCGCCGGAAGGGGGCGCAGTGGGGCCTTCCGCTTCCTCCGGGAGCCCACCTGGGTTTCTCACGGCCGGCTCGGGTGCCCCGGAGTCGCTTGTGACGGAGCCCGGGGGGCTGGCGGCAGAATGGCTGATGGGGATGGGGGCTGGCTCTTCGGTCTTGATGAAGGGGGTGAGGTTCGGGAGGGTGGGGGGCAATGGCAGGCCGACAGAAGTGGTCAGGGTGGGCAGGACGGGTTTGGTGTCTAGCCAGCTGGTGACCGGCTTTTCTGGAGGGATGGACATGCCGTAGGGGATGCCGGTACTGGTGGGTATGTTGTCCAAATGCTCAGGCACAGGGTAGGGGTTCATCTGGATATGAGGGTACTTCTCTTTGTGGCGCTGAAAGTGGACTTTGAGGTTCCCCTTGGTGGAGAACCTGTTCCCGCAGATGTTGCACTTGAATGGCCTCTCTCCGGTGTGGGAACGAAGGTGGATCTGCAAGGCACTGTCGCTTCCGAAGACCTTTGCACAGAACCTGCACTTGTGTTTGAAGAACGCCTCGTCCGAAGCGCTCTTGGCTTCGAAGGCGGTGACATTTGGTGGCTTGCTTTTTCTTTGCTGGGCCAAGGCGGACAAGGGGTTTAAATCCTCCGCTGTCGTTCCAATGTTGGGCAAAGGGCTGGGGAAAACCGAGTTAGCGGGGGCCGGCTGAGGTAGAAGTGGATTAGATGCAGGACTCAACAGACTGCTTATTGCAAAAGCTGGTGAGGATGAGGCAGAGGCCGCGGGGTTGCTGGTGTGGGAGGCGCCCGCGCTCGAAGCCCCTTTTTCCGAGGATGGGGTGGGAACTGCCGCCGCCAGTATGTGAACGTTGGGGGAAGAGCCGCTGTGTGGGGGGGCGATGGTGTTGCCGGAACTGCTCTGAGGTAGCTGGATGGGGGGGAGCTGTTTCACACCGCTGATGCTGGCAGATTGGCTCGCGAGGCTCTGTGCTAACCCAGCTGCCGCAGCCAGCTGCTGAGATAAATGGGAACTGAGGGTGGACAAGGGGTTGGCAGATGTTCGTAAAGTACCTGGAGAAGGGCTGGAAGAGGTTGGCAGGTCTGCGTTCTGAGAAGCCAGCAGCAATATTTGGTGACGAATCTGCTCGATCAGCTGCAGCTGGTGGATTTGCTGCTGCTGCAGAGCTAAGAGCTGCTCCATCAGGGCCGGGACGGCCAGCTTGCCCCCCGAGGCCCCACTGCACCTCGCTTCCTGGGAGAACTGGGCCACCGCCACCTTGGTGCTCTGGAGGTTCTCGATGATGACGTTGCTGTTGATCACGGAGAAGTTGCCCAGTGTTGTCAGGTCCCCGAGTTGAGGTAGAGAGGTTGTGATCGCTGAGGTACCTGCGCCGGAGCTGCTGCTGCTGCAGCTAGTGGGGGCGCTGCTGTCGCCACCGCCGCTCAGGGGCCCACTGGTGCCTTTGGGGGCTGCCGGGGCCTCCACCTCCATGGACTCGTCCCTGTCCGGTGCCTGGGCTTCCGCCAGGTCGCTGCACTCTGCTTGCTCTGTTTTGTTAGACGTGTCATTCATTTGTTCCTGGGGATGATCGGGAGGGGGGCTGGGGCTTGAGAAGGTTTCAGGTGGGGAGGCTGGACTTTCATTTACGATGAGAACTAATTGATTTTTAGTACAGTTCTTCTTGTGGAGCAGAAGATCTGACAATTCGAAGAACTCGGCGCAGCACCGGCCGCAGACGTGAGCATCCTTGCTCTTAGTGGTGCGGTTGGGTTGGCCCTTCTCTGTGTCTCCTGCAAACATGAAAAGGAGCAGGGTTAGCAACGAAGCCAGGACACCCAGAGTCATCCAGGACCTCAAAAAAAAGAGAGAATGGAGGCAGATCAACTCTTTCCTCCCTGCGAAACTCAGAAAACTATGGCCCCAGAAAACCAATCAATATTCCTTAAGAACGTTCTTGATTAAATGTTAAGGCTGTTGGAGGACTCCCTATCAATCTGGTATCTCCAAGAGCCGCGGCCTTCAGGTAATCCATCAAAATATAAAATACTATGAACTGCAGACATTGGTGCATAATGAAATTCCATAGCAAAATATTGATTTCCAATATTTTATACACCTTATTGTCTACTCGTCCATCCAGAGAGGGTCCAGCCACCATCCTGAGGACTTATTAGGCTCTTGAGTTTCTGTCAACCTTATTCATTTTCACCTGATTCAAAGATATCTGTGACAGTTTGTTCTGTCACTAAACTAATTTGTAGTCATTCAAGGTTCCAATCAGTGGTTGACAAGGGAAAAAAAATGGCTATCACCAAGGTGAAGACTGACAACTTGAAAATCACCTCCAGACCCTACCTGGAACCTGAGCTACGTCTGATCCGTGACAAACACACTTTAGCCACATCAGTAACAAATCCTCTGGACACTCAAGACTCGGCTGAATACAAGAGAAAACAATGAGACACAGACACAGACACAGACACACACACACACACACACACGAGAAACACAATGATCAAAATCCATTGCAAGGCCTGCCTGGCACCTATATATCAGGCTGTGGCATGTTTATTTTTAAAATTAAAGAATGCAACTGGCTACCATCCCACTAATCAAGGAATATATGCCACTATGCTCCAAATGGCAACATTATGCCTGTAAATATTTCATCAAAAGTGCTCTTTCTATCTATAAAAACTGGCACAAGATGTACATTTCTGATTAAATATCAACTTAAAGAAAGATGTGCAGTTAAGGGGAAGTGAAGAAATAATTCTTGTTTTCTAGTTTGGAAATGCTTTGCAATTCTCCTTGTCTGAAATGCCTTTAAAAACAGTTTGCTCTTAACTGTTATCAATTGTTTAACAGATTGTCCCGAACCTTTCATTATAAAATCCCTTTATTTCATGTTTGTTTCCACTGGTTGCTCAGATTTCTTCTCACTAAGATCCATTTGTAAATTAAACATAAAAATCTCCAACTCCAAGCTAACATCCTATTCAAAGACAGGATGGCGTCCCATTGTTTGCCCAGCATGGGGAACACCAACTTCTGTTGTACAAATGGTGTGTGGTCATCTCCGTAGGCTGTGAAAAAAAAAAAAAAACTGTTTAATTCAAGGATTACCTCCCTGCATGCTTTTCTGCAGAACTGAATCAGATAATAGTTAGTTTCCATGACTTCCAAATTGAATCTCCCAGAAAACTTGCAGGGGAAAAAAAAACTAATAGCAAATATGAATAAATGCAAAATCAAAATGCCGCTTTTTTCAGTAAACTTAGAATTGAGTCAAAAGAGTCAGCCATTTGCCTCTTTGCAGTAAATATAAAACACACACACACACACACACACACACACACAAAAAAAAACAAAAAAGCTTTAGTAGTTTTACATTCCAGAAAATATAATTAATACCCAAATACTAACTTCTGAAAATTCCTTAACTCTGTTTGCCTTGAGTGATGCCGCAGATGATTAGAAACCCTGGTAAAGTATGCCAAATGTATGCACACTTTATTCACTGGGAGGGTTATTTGAGTAGCTAAGTTATACTTAACAAGCTAGCTTCCCTAATACCCATCTTTTAATCTCCGTAAGGGTATAGTGCAAAATGCATTAACAATACCAAACAAATCTCGGTTGGAGCAGAAAATACCAATAATGATTCAGTTTTAATTTAATGTTTAATCATCCTAATTGGCACAGGATTCCTCTGCACATTCAAGGTGCTGTTTTAAGCTCTGTCTCTCGCTTTACTTAAAAATAATGTAAACAAAATATTAAACGAAATTCGCTAAAGTTATGTTTCTTAACTGGGGACGAAAATAATGTGACAAAAATTCTGTTTAAAGCTTCTTATTTTGACAACCAATTTTAAATGATGCATCCATTTCAGATGCTTATTTTAAACTAGGAAATGCAGTTCCTAATATATTCAACCGAAATGTTATTTCTTTCTCTTTGCACATTTCCATATGTAATGGTTATGTTTCCATCTACTTTTACAGCCAATTATGAAGGAACAAAAGCTATTCTGTTTGTTCACACATTTTCAACAAAATGCATTAAAACTATTATGTCAGCATGTTCTATTAAGCTCTGCATTCAGTGGAAAATACTTTTCAACCAGCTCACATTTATCAAAACATAAAGCCACTTTAAAACACAGTTTTGCTTGGTCAGCTGGGCTTAGACAAATAATGACAGATTCAGAACTAAATAACTAGCAAGGGAAATCAGAAAACTGACTTCATCAATTGTACACATTACAATGTAGTTGCTTCAAATATTTAGCACATCTGTGCTCACGATTAAAGGGCATTTTTAATTCTTTATAACTTACAAACATCTGATATTCTCATAATATACAGAAAATTTAAAAAAGGTTACTTTACAGGATTTAGCTGATTATTACTTTCCTGTGCTCCAATTCTGCACTTGTGCTGCTTCAAGACTCACTTGAGAATTTTCAAGTTTTTCGACCTGAACATTTTTATATTTAGGGTTGTGCTAACTGGAAGGAAAATACAGACACTTAAAAATAAGTGCCTGCTTGCTTCTAAGAAAGAGACTGTGTTAAAAAAGCTGCCCATATTTTAGCTTAGATTTTCACAACATTTTAATAAGCTGACATTTGATCTCACTGTAGAGTCAACTAATTTAATTTCCTGATGTTTATGAACACCAAAAAAAAAAAAAATTCTGATACCTATTTTGATTTATTTCAAAAGCAGGTGTCACTACATTATAATAGTTCTTAACATTAAATCCATCTGCCTTCTGAACAGAATTCCAATGAAACAGTTTTATATGAAAAAAAAAAAAAGGATAAAACATGAGGTCTAGTTTGAATCTTTAACTACCAAAGGGAATATTTTAAGTTGTAATAAGATGTACACACATACACTCACATCACAAACTAACATATTCTAATTCATTTTTTTGACCGTCTGGCTATCTTGTATCTCTCTCAATAATCTGTTACACAAGATTGCAACTGGTGACCCCATTATAGTAAATACAGTTGCCTTGTTCCCTGTACTATAGTAAAAACAATATTCTAGTTCCTCTTCTATGGATTATGCATTCAAATTAATTTTGTCATCGTGGTCATACAGGAAAATTTCAGAAGAGGTGGTTTTCTAAGTATGTACACACAAAAAGATTTTTGGAATGTTCTGGGTTTCTTTTACCCACTCTGGGCCAGAGGAAGAGGTGATCTTATAGCTTTATCCAATTTATATGAAAATCCCAGATGTTTTAGTTTTCATTGTACTATTTAGGTTCTTGATGCCCAATTCAAATATGTCAGCTTTTCATCATCTGAACTAAACACTGCGGAATGGGAGGCAGAAAATTGAAGTGTTCCAGTATATCTGTCTGCTGAGAAAACAAAAATAAAACTATGCCCCATGCTGAAAGGTTTGGCCAGCCAGGAAAACAAAACAAAACAACAGCCCTACTGTACCACGCTGAGTTTTCTTTTTTTGGAGCTTCTCAGAAAGACCCTTCGCTTGACTTCCCAGTACCTTCAGATCACATTAACGTTTTTAATAAAACCCCACAAGATTATGATCTTGGAGCCTATAGTTTTAACTGGCTGTTCCTTTTGGTAGACCAATTTCGAAAGGCTATCACAAACATTTCTGATTGATTGGTTTTTCTCTCTTTTTTTCTTTTTCTTGTACAGACCTGGGAAAAACCTGCATCTGAATGTTCAGCTTGAGATTCCACAGCAATTTAAACACCACTACATATGCTCTGCATATTTTCTGTAATGTCTTAAGTTTCTTCTGTGAGATCTGTAGCCAGATGACACATTTTACTGGCTCCCTTCAAGTCCCCTCAGTGTTCTGACTGGGATTAGCGTGTTCTCGAGTGGAAGAATACAAGGGGAAGTCTCTGACAAAATAACAACATGGACAAGACAGTCCTTTGAAAATCCTGATACCAGCCCACCTAATGTACACAATAAATGAAAGGGGGAAAATATCTTCCCCTTGGATGAATCAAACTGAACACTAGATGGGGTTCCAGTTGCAAGGGTTTGTTCAAAAACTTCTTTGTGGCTTTCCTCTTCCAGTGACGCGTAAAAGAGACTGCTTAAGGCGAGATCTAAACTTTGACTACATAAACATTGGCAAAGGCACAAGAAACTAGATCCCTGTTGTCTGAGGGTAAAACTGAGCTATGGGAACTACCTGTCAATCTTCCCCTTTGGGGGTCTGGCATCTGAGGGTGACAGGGGAATAAGGTTAGGAAAAGAAGCCAAGCTGATAAGGTGAAACTAAAATAAACTCCGAACTTCCTGCTAAGTGACTAGCAAGACTCAATTTGGGGGTCACTGGGAAGATACTGAAGGACATATTATGATCTGGACCTTGTCACCTCTGCATGGGAGGAGGCTAGCAAAGGTTAAAACAGCTCGACACATCTACGTTTTCCAAAGCCTGGCACAGGGACTTTTTTCTTTTGGAGGGGGAGGGGTGCTGGTTCTTGGGATAATTTACCACCTCCTCCCTTCAAATGCTCCATGACTGCCCTTTTGGTAATCTAAGAATATTTGGGAAGACTGGGTGAGCGGTATCAGGAGGTACCTTAGAAAAACCAAATTAAGTCTGCAGAAGGAATTAGTTCTGGCTACTCCACTGAGCTTGGCTTTTCTCAATTTCAAAAAACTGAACTGCTGGTCTACCTGATTCCCACCCCCCGCTTTTCCCTGAGAGCTCTGCCTCGAAAATTCAGATTTTTGCTTTCCAAAGGACTGTGGGTCAAGACAACTTGCTACCTGCCAAAGCAGAAAGAAATGAAATAAAGTCCCCAAAGAATAACCTATAAATTGACACTTGTGCCTATAAACCATAGGTGAATCTGGATGTAAAATAAACCACAAAACCTTCGGTATCACAAATTCACTTTCACACACGCTCTCTCCTGTCCTTCCACCTTCGCTTGTTTGTATTTGTTTGTTTGTAACATTTTAGGAAGTATGTAAGGCCTCCAGCAAATTCCCCAAAACAGCTTGCATTTTCTCATCCAAAATCTTCCATGATGCCACAAACTTAAAATAGGCCTGATTAAACAGGAGTTTTGTGCAACTGCCTTATCATGCAGGTGTCGGTTTTTCAAAAAAAGCAATTAATTATAGTTCTCTCTAACCTTTTGGGCCCAGAAATCAATGTGCTGCCATTAAGCTGCTCACACTGAGTAAATTACTTTGGTAAATAATAGAATTTCATTATTAATATAAATAAGAGGAATTTTTTAATGATACTTTATATGAGAGGCAGTGTTTTATCTGCAGTTCATGATGTTTTTATCTTCCTCCCAATATGAAAAAGCTTGAAAAAGCTGGGCATAGAAATACTTTCTTAATAAATGAATGGAGTATGAGTGGGCCAAACATGTCGTTCCAGGAATCTTAAAAAACACTACCCAAGGAAGAAAAAGGCAACACACACACATACACACACACACCTGAAATCCGAATCGCTAGTAAAGAATTCACATACAAAATCATTCCATTCTAATGTTCTCTTTCCTCAAAATTATTTACCTTGCTAAATAATTTTCCCAGTGGCAGTCATCTTTCTACAAGTAATTCAAGACTTGTTGCATATCATTTAAGAGACAAGTAATAAGCGCCATACTCTTGGTTTCATAAGAAACAGTAAAAATCTCCCAGTTTATTTTGGGAGAGAATATAGCAGCACCAAAAATAGAATTAAAATATGAACATCGTAAGACTGACCAAATGATCTTGTTTTCTTGAACTTGTTCTGATGAAGTTATCTTGGAGATTGCTGAGACCAGCTCGGATTTTCTTTGTACGCACGCACACGCTCAAACACACACAGGCGTGACATGCCGCGCAGTAAGCCTGACTGCTCCCAGCCTTGGGAGTCGCTCCTTCAGGGAAACTGTAACGGGGGGCCTACAAACTTTTCTAGGTCTCACTCTGGACCGAAGTCATGAAATCGGAGGTGCCAGCATCTGCTGGGGGCACCACCAGCTAGATTTAATTTGATAGGTTTAACATTTCCTTAGCCATGTTTTAAGCCCATCTCAAGAAAGAAAAAAAAGTAACCACAGCGTTTAAGGAAGGTTAATCTTCTAAAAATTTAACAACTTTCATGTAGATTAAACAAACAAACAAACCTGCAAACTGAAAAACAGAACTCCAATGACTCCTTAAAGTGTGTGTTCTGTGCGGACAGGAGAATGGGTGGCTGGATACAGTGCATGAAAGGTGGTGACTTTTTAAAGGTAACTTGGAGACATGATTGCTCAGTTCTCTATCTCACAACTACTCCCAAATAAAAAGAACTGGCGTGTGTAAGGCCCTCCTGTAAAATCAGACATGGAGGAGGATTAGTTGTGTACTAATATTATTACAACATACTAAATCCTGTAACCCTATTACAAAATCTACCCTCTAGGCAGTTTCTCCCAAACTTATTGTTCAACCATGTAAAAACAGTCATAACCTAAAACCATTACAACTGGAGAAATAGAGGGGGGTGGGGAGGTGAGAAAGGAGGCCGAGAGGGGAGTGATTCCTACGGTGCCCCGACCAGTTTACTCCTCCTTAGGACAATGAAGCAGCTTTTGGGGATAAAAAAGAAAGAAAAAGGAAAGGAAGGAAGGAATAAAGTAAAAGAAAGAGAAAAAAGAAAGAAAGGAAACTTAATGTAACTTAACTAACTTACCTCAAAGCCCAAATAAACCAAAAAAACAGTCCTAATAAATAATAATGGTCAGAGGTAGTGAACTCCTTTTATGCTATCGCTTTATGAGAAGCCTTAACTATTAAAAATTCTGGATTCCGAAGGCGAGAGGAAAAAGGTAAAGATCTAGCAAGCATCAATTCTCTGAGAAGCCCAAGTCTTTATTTTTTTTTTCCTTTTTTGAAAATATATAAAATCAGTACACATTAATTAAAAAAAAAAAAGACTTAAAAATAAGTCTTTCCTCTCCTCCCTTTAGGTTTGGTCCTTTAAAAACTGTTGACTTTTAACAGTATTACAGTGAGGAAGATCTCACCAGAAACTTTAGCAAAGATGGTGTGGGGACGAGATGCAGAAGAAACCAGCTGGGAAAACCCAGAAAAATTCTGTGGCAGCGGCCTTGGATAATTTCACCTCTCTGTACCTTGAGCACCCAGTCTCGCCTGGGGTGGAAAGCGGGGATCACGGGTTCTCAGGGGACTGAGAAATCAGAGGCTCTGGATAAGGCTTGAAGCTTGAGAAAGTACTGGGGTGGAGGGGGCCAAATATTGTACACAAATATCTTCATCTGTGTCTGTTCTCCCCCCTTTCTTACAGGGATCACCCCCCTCCACAGGAGTCCCCCTTCCCGACAGCCGGGGTGAAGTGGGTGGGAGCCCCTCGGCTTCTCCGCCTGGGTTCTGCATGGGTCCCTGCGCCCCAGCTCTGCAGAGAAGCAGGCCTCTAAGGGAGGACCGGAGGACCGTGAGGGCCGGGCGGCCGCAGAGTTTAGAGGACTGAGGTGCCGACCAAAGGGCAGGCTTCCGAGCCCTATCGGGATCCAGCTCCCTTCTCTATACCCCAAAATGGAGCACCTCGAGAGACATCCCGAGTCGCAGAGACAGCTCCGGGGTTGCCGTTCGAACCTCCGCAGCCGAGAGGCGAGCACTGTGCCGGGGAACCGAGCCCGGGCGCCGCTCCATCGCCTCCGGCCTTGGGCCTGGGAGTTTGGAGGCCCCTAAAGTGTAATATTTTTTAGGGGTAAAAAGGGATTCAAGGTGTCTGTCCTCTCTACCCCCAATTCCCTGCCCGGATCTCTGCCACTCTCGGCCTTAGCTCAAACTTTGTCTGGACTTGTTCACTCCCTTTGGGACCCGGCAGTTGTTGCCTCCATCGGAGGAAGCGAGTGCCTCTGATTTAGGGGGACTCCCTCGTGGCTAGATAGCCCACCCCACCTCCAGCTCTGAAGAACGACCCTTACGACTCCTGGAAGTGCGAGGTACCACGAACCTTAGCGGGAGCCGATCGAGTTTAAAGATTTCTTGGGGGCGCCGAGTGTGCATGTGTTGGGAGAAGAGATGCGGGGATCAAGTGGGATGGCCAGACCCCGACACTTTCCCCCGTCCGCCTGCACTCTGTCTGGGGAGCACCCGGCAGCAAAGAGCACTCTCCAACACGGCCTCTACCCCAGCGTGTCAGGCACGGTCGCCCCAATATAGGTTCCCATCTTCTTGGAACTCCGAACTCCCACAGGCACCCCATTCCGCGGCGCGGGCCCAGGAGGAGTGGGAGCGCTGGGGAAGGGGGGGGGAGCGCCGCGCAGGGAGCTCCCCTCCACGTTCCAAGTTCAGCCCGGAGCACAAAGTAAACTTCCTTCCCGCAGGCAGCAGGACCAGGGCGGCGGAGGCCAGGCTGGGCCTCGGGCGCGGGCCGGGGAGCGCGTGGAGCACCGCGCAAGCAGACGCCGACGGCCTCTGTCCGCACCCGCGCCCCGCCGGGCACCCTTGCCCCGGCCGCAGCTCGGAGGGTCCCGGGATCCGCTCCCGGGGACAGCCGGGACGCAGGAGCAAGGCCGGTTAGCCCTCTCTCCTCCCCGCAGGAGGACCCAACAACTCCGGAAAGATCCTGCCTGGAGAAGTGTTTGCTTTCCTCGGGGCAGGGGGGTTGGGGGTGGGGAAGCCCAGCAAAGGCAAATTGAAATTTAAAAAAAAAAAATCGCGGAGTCGAAATGGTGATGCGGATCGCGGCGGCTGGGCGGTGGGCGCGGGGGCCAGCCGCGTGTGCGTGGGCGCGAGTGTGCGTGAGTGTGAGTGCGAGTACGTGTGTGCGCGTGTGTGTCCGCGGCGCGGGCCGGAGCACTCACCATCTCGCCGGGGGAGCGAGGCCACTTCGGGGTCGGATTGGAAATGTTGAGGCTTCGCTTGCTTCCTCCGCGACATGCTGGCTCAAACATCAGCTGGGGCAGAATAAAAAATTACTAAAAAAAAATCTTCTCAAAATTACGGAAATCGAGCGGCGGCGGCGGCGGCGGCTCCCCCCGCCCGCCGGCCCGCCCGCCCCCTCCCCGGCTCCCCGGCCCCGGGCGCAGCGCGCATGTGTCCTGCTATAATTATGATTATCAATAATGCATTGCGATTAATCATAGAGGGGCTCTTTGAAAGGCGATTGGCACCAGGCCAGCGCTATTCAAACCCGCTCGCCTTAATCAATTAGTTTGTGATTTGCTGCAGACCCCTGTCTCTCCGCGCGCTGGCCCAATAAGCCGGCCGCGGGGCTGGCTCTGCGAGCCGCGCCGCCCGACACTGGGTTAACCCTCTTCGCGACCGCCCGGGACTCCGCGGCCGGGCCGCCGGGGGCCTGCCTCCTCGCCTCTGAGCACCCGGCGCCCCGGCCTGCGCCCCCCCTCCCTCCCTCGGCCCCCCCATCCCGGGCTGGGCCGACCCAAATTAGCATGCCCTCCCCGGAATTAAGCCTCCCCTGGTGGGGGGTGGGGCCGGGCGGCGGGGGCTGGGGACCCGGGCTGCGGGCGCGCGGCGAACTTCCCAACTCCGGCGCTAGGAGCGCCGGCCCGCGGGGGGAGGGAGTCCCGTGGCGGGATTTGGGGGGAGGAAGTCCCGTTTCGTGAGTGTTTCTTCGTTTCTTTTAAGACCTACCAGAAAGCAGCCCACCCCCACCCCCATTAAAAAAAAAATAAGCGAGTGGGGAAGAGCCAGCCCCACGCCGGTCCGCCTCCCGCCCGCGGCCCGGCCTCCCTCCCGCTCGCTGCTTGGCTCGGCGCTCCTTCGCCCCGAGTTCTCCATCCCCTGGATCCCGGGCTCGCGGGGGCGCGGAGAAGAGGACCAAGGAAAGGTTTGGGAACGTGATGGGTTTGGGGCTTTGGGGGGGGAGGGGCAGCTCTCCCGCCACCCCGTTCCTCCTCAGAGGGCCCCGATCCTCTAGCTTCTCGCTTGCTCCCCCGCTCCCTTTCTCTACCTCGGACATTCCCAGGACAATTAGGGCTGAAGTTTTCGGGAGAAGCGGCCCCGAGCCCGTGGGATAAGGGGGCGGCCCGGCTCCGCCCAGGACCCCTCCCGGACCTCCCCCTCGGCTGCCCCGGTTGGCTGCAGGGCGCGTCACTCCGCGGGGAGGCGGCGGCAGCGGTGGCGCCGCCGAGCCCAGGGCAGGCGGCGAGCGGGGACCGGCTTGGGATCCGAGTTCAGCTCCAGCCGGGGGGAGGGGAGGGGCCGCCGCTTACCCAGCACGCTGCAACCCTCCCCTGGCCTCGCGAGGCGCGGGCCTGCCCCGCTGGGCTTCGGGCACGGCCAGTCCCCGGGACCCCGCGGCTCTTCGTCCTGGGGGAGCGGGCCGTGTCCCAGGCTCTTGGCGAGGAGGTGGCCGCGCTGAGCCTGGAGAGAGGGGAGTCCTTGTCCGCAGCTGTCTGGCCCCGCAGGAGCTCGCCTCCACTTCTCAGGCACTTGCTGAGCGCGGCGCCCAAACTTTTCGCACCAGCTCCATCTCCCCAGGCTGTGAGGCAGCCTTCCCACCCGCGGCCCTGAGCCCGGAGTGGGGATCCCGGGGCCCGCACTCAGTCCGCTGGGCTCGGGCCCCCGCGAACCTGAGGCTCAGTCCTCGGCTCAGCCTAGCTCTTCCCCCTTGTGCCTCAGGGTCTCCTCGCTCCTGGTTCCCGAAGTCCTGCGCCCGAGGGACACTCTAAACTTCGGCTGAGTAATGGGGACGGGGGGGGGGTGCAGATACACAATCCCTACCCTATCTCGCGATCGGGAAAGGAGAGGGCTCATAAGGACGCCCCAATTCGGGAGCGCCCTGGAGCCTGGAGAGCCATACAGTCAGTTCGCGCGAAGTGGGCACCAGTCTTCCAAGTAGAGTTTCGGGTACTCCGGACCATACTGCGCTCCCGCAAGAGTCTCTCTAGCCACTTTGGTCCTTCCCCGCTGTTTAAAATCTAAATCTTTTGTGTGCGGGTGAATGTTTCTGTTTTCCTCCTGACGACTTTATTTCTCTTGGTATAACTTATCCTTTCTCCTTGTTCGCCCTTTCTTCACCTTTTCTCCCGCTTATTTTTCCTCTTTTGTGGCCTCGCTCGATCTCTCTCTCTCTCACACACACACACACACACACACTCACGCTGACACCCCTCTGCATCTCGCTCTCTCTTTCTCCCCAGGTCCTGTTGGTTACAGTAGATTTTGATAAAAAGACAAACGAAGCTATCAGTGGGGCTGATGTTGAAGAATGAAGATAATAATGTTTCCATAGGTGGTGCTTCAAATGCCATTATTTCTCACTGAATATTTAAAGAGATCCCTCGGCAAAGATGGATCTGCGTGCTCCTGGGGTGCCAGCTTCTCGCTTCCCCGAGACCCCCAGGAAAGTGTGCGGGAGCACGTGTAAAACCCATCCCCCGCTCCGCAAACTGTGATCCTGGCAGGCATCCCAACCCACACTCTTCCAGGTACACCAACGCCGCCGTATGCACTTGCACACGCGTTTCTCCGTTTCTGCTCGTGTTTGGATTCGGCCGCATCCGTCTCTAACAATCTTGGCTTCTTGAAAGTCCGGGCCTCTGGGGCACCGCGTGCTGCCAGGAACCGAACAGAGCTAGCGATCCCGCAAATCCTTCTTCCTGGATCGCGCCGTAAGCGCCGCGGCAAGCTCCCGGGATTAGCGTCACACGTGTTCGTTACTTGCTCTATGTGTGATTAAGATTAAGGGGCGGGGGAGCTTTCCCTCCCCCCCACCAACAAAACACCAAAACAAACAACCAAACGAAATGCACACGCAAAGAAGCAGCTTCGCGATGTTTAATTAAAACTGGGCGAGCAGAGACGAATTAATTGGGGGGATCCAAACTTTAATAACTTTTTTCGTTCTTCTGCGTCCTCGAAGACGTAGAGGCAGGCGTCTCGCTCGAAGCGCAACGTCCCCCGCTAATTTCTTGTTTGTTTTCTTTCCCTCCGTGGCGGGGAGAGAGGAGAGGGGAGGTGGAGGAGGGGGGATGGGAAGAGGGGATGGTCGGAGTGGCGGGGAGAGGAGAATTGGTCTTTATTGTTGACGGCAATACATCAATTACGGGCCATTGTCTTGGGCCCAAGTTCCGTGGTTCGCAGACGCGGGCGCCGCGCTGTCAGGGCGCTTGGGTGAGGCTTCGTGTGCCGCGAGGCAGAGAAATTATTAAATTAATAAAAACGGAGACAGAGTGGGGTTAGACCGATGGGGGTTGATTTGTACTTTTGAGCGGGTCGGAAGAAGGCAGGGAGCACAGTGAGGTGCCGCAGTGCAGCCCCTCCCCACGTCCTGCTCACTCGAGAGACCTGCGCGCTCTACTGGGGATCGCGGGTCCCTGCCTTGGGTGGGGCAGCTGCTGGGGGACTCCGGTTGACGGGGCTGGCACGTAGGCTCCTGGCTTTTAGGGGCTGCTCCATGTTAAAGATTGGAGGTGGCCCGAAGTCTGGCAGCGGCTGCGCCAGGGTCGTGACCTCGTGGGTCGACAGGAACCGCACCCGGGCGAGGCGCTTGGCGAGTTGTTCAAAGTCACATTTGGGGGGCTGGATGCCTGTGTTTCTACCAACAAATCCCGCCCCCCCCCGCCCCCCAGTCTTCCCAACACCTACAGAGTCCTTGGTGGGTTTGACGGGGGCCGAAGGGCCCCAAGGCTAGAGGGCCACAGGTGAATTCCCAGCGAAGGGAATTCTCCTTTTCATTCCCTGATCTTGGGAAGGGGAGAGGGTGTTGAGCCTCCTTTCCCCAAGGCCCGATTCTTCCACCAGCAAAACTACCTTATTTCGGCCCAGTTTGACCCCCACTTTCTGATGGAGCCTAGAATGAGGCCTGGCCTGCGCTCAGGACGTTCCTTCTCGCTCCTTCTCCTTTCACCGGTGCGGGTTGGACACTCTACCCTTGAGCTGAAGGTCGCCCCCACTAGCCTCGCCCCAAGCCCCTGCTTCCGTGGTCCCCGGCCTCAGGCCCCGCTGGGCCGCCAGCCGAGGCTAGGGGGGCGGGAGAGGAGGTTTCGTTTTCTCTTGCCAAGCAGAAAGCAGCGAAAAGGCGGCCGCGGCGTCCTGGGGGCGGGGGTGGAGGCACACCCGATGGTATCAACGTTATTGATGGGGAAATATTAGGAGCAGGAGCCCAGAGATCAGGTTCCCGGTCCCTCCCCTACCCGGAGGTGGGAGGGACGGACGGAGTGGGTGGTGGCGGCGTTGGGTTGGGGTGTGCTGGGACGCGGGTAGCTGAATGCACCCGCATTAACCACTCTTGGGATTTATTTATAATTTTCTTGTCTGTAAATTGGGGTGGCGAGGAGAGGAGGAGGAAGGATTGACTTGGCTAGTACCCTAGCCCTTAAGGTCTTTCCCAGGGTTGAGGCCGGAGTGGAGGGGTGGGGGTGGAGGAGGGACAGGAAAAGTGATCAAAAGCGAAGACCAAGTTTGGGAAGCCCACCGTAGGCTCGGTTATTGATCAAACCCCAGTACTTCGCTTCCCCGAGAGTTTCAGAAACTCTTTCCTTAACTGCTGTTGCTCAAATCCTCATCTCTCCTCGGCCACTGGAGAGGCTTCAGACCCGAGGCCTCGGGGAGCCTGCTCAGGTGGGTACCCCCGGCCCCGGCGGAGTCTGTGCTGTGAGCGCTTTGCGCACTGGCTCCCCGGTAATCAAGTCTCCGCAGTGGCAGCGAAAAGACGCACTTTCTGGGGGAACCCGCAGTCCGCAGCCAAGGGCTAGCTGCAACCCTGGGGCCGGGTGCAGCGTGGGGACCAGGCGCCCAGGCGCCGGCTCCGGCGGGAATTTCAGCCGTGGCGAGCGGAGGGCGGGCTTGGTAACTCGTCGCGCATCCCAGCCAAGGGTCCCACACTACCGGCAAACTTCCTCTTTCTTCTCTTGCAGGGCCATCCGCATGCAGGCATTTAGAAACTGACTTCTTCGCTGGCGACCGCAAGTGCC